GACCTCACCGACAATCAGTAGACTAGGGTCTGGGGTCACAAAAGTCAAACATGAAATCAGACTGCTAATAGTATCATTGGAACTGATAGACTGCGCTGGCTGGTGAAGATGGGGATGCAGTGCTTGTCGGAATGTCCCGAGCGCTGTAATGTAGTTTCGTTACTCAACTATTTTTCACGCTTTAGAGGACACAACGATTTATAAAGCACCCCTTTTGTTTCTACAGGATGACATAGGAGAAGGCATATCCCTTTCTGCTACTTTTCACACACTCTCTCCCTAACTCTCTTCAACCTCTCTCCATCCCTCTTTCCCAGCCTCTCCAGTATCTCCTGTAGTCTCTCGCCATCTTCCTCCCTCCTCTCTTATCCTCACTAACTTCACCCTCCCTCTTAAACTCCTTTGCCACATCTCTGCACCACCAACACAGCCCCCCCCCTCCCCCCGCGCCACAGACGCGGAAGCCTACCTGGATGTAGTCACACAAGGTCAGGTCGGTGATGGCGCTGGCGTCGGCATGTCTGGTGGCTGTATAGTCTGCCAGCGCCTGGGCTAACAGAGACAAGCCAAAAATTTGTTACAAAAGCCCGCCTAGACAGGTAAACAATTTGTTACAACAGACAGCCAAGACAGGTAAACAATATGTTACAACCGCCCGCCGAGACAGGTAAACAATATGTTACAACAGACAACCCAGACAGGTAAACAATATGTTACCACAGACAGCCGAGACAGGTAAACAATATATCACAACAGACAGCCGAGACAGGTAAACAATATGTTACAACACACAGCCGAGTCAGGTAAACGTTACAACAGACAGCTGAGACAGGTAAACAATATGTTACAACAGACAGCCGAGACAAGTAAACAATTTGTTTCAACAGACAGCCGAGACAGATAAACATTATGTTACAACAGATAGCCGAGACAGGTAAACAATATGTTACAAAAGGCAGCCGAGACAGGTAAACATTATGTCACAAAAGCCAGCCAAGAGAGGTAAACATTATGTCACAAAAGGCGGCCGAGACTGGTAAACATTATGTCACAACAGACAGTCGAGTCAGGTAAACAATTTGTAACAACAGCCGAGACAGGTAACCAATTTGTTACAACAGGCAGCAGACACAGGTACAAAAAATGTTACAACAGACAGCCGAGACAGGTAAACAATATGTGACATCAGGTAGCAGAGACAGTAAAGAAGATTCAATGGTGACAGCGATAATGTGCTGAAAAAGTGAACTCTCTTTCTGGTAGGTTCATGTTTGCTGCTGCATGACCCTGGCAGAGCGAACTGCCCGTGCCAAAAGTCACGAGGTGGGAGTCTACCGGATATTTCGACATTGAGGATTCAGACAGGATACAGGGACGTGCTTAGCTGTGCTAAGTGTTTCCTTATGATAGTATAGCTTCTCTGTGTTGTGTAGCGTCTAACAGCGACGGATGTTGTGTTCTTCTTTAATGCATAAGTAGTGTTGGTGTATTCTGATAAGCAGAATCAGGTGTTGATGTGGTTTGAGTGACGATCTCTTTCCTCAGCACACTGGCCACGCACTCGACGAAAGCTCTGCGATCCTAGTGAAGTCCAGTGGCATCGGAAGAGAGCGTATCCTGCATTGGTGTGATGTTTGCGGACCTGAAATTTGCCCATGGGAACCAATTGGCGTGTTTAGTGAATGTGAACTGTCCTATTGTTTATCTGTGATTTACATTAAAATTGTCATATATGCTCTGTGGGTGTCCAGTTTCAGTGTGTACTAGGGTAGATTTCTGTTTGAGGCCCACACAGCGAGACACAGGGCAGATTGTCTGTCTGAGGGCAACACGCCGAGACACGGGGTAGAATGTCTGTCTGAGGCCCACAAAGCGAGACAAGGCGTAGATTGTCTGTCTGAGGCCCACACAGCGAGACACAGGGTAGATTGTCTGAGGCCCACACAACGAGACACGGGGTAGAATGTCTGTCTGAGGCCCACACAGGGTAGATTGTCTGTCTGAGGCCCACACGGCGAGACACTGGGTAGATTGTCTGTCTGAGGTTCACACAGCTAGACAAGGGATAGATTGTCTGTCTGAGGCCCACACAACTAGACACGTACCATCAAGGTCAATTAGAGGTCTGTGACATAAAACAATATGTTACATCAGGTAGTAGAGACAGATAAACTTCAGGAGCTGATTTAATTATTCCTTGTGCTTTACTCGTGATTCTTTATAAACATCACATAAAGATATGGATACAACCACTTACATAAATCATCTTTGTGTTTCTCCAGCATGTCACAGAGCACAACACAGTCTTCCAAGCCCTGACAGAGAGAATACAGACATGATCAGATCTCAGCCCTGACAGGGAGAATACAGACATGATCAGATCTCAGCCCTGACAGGGAGAATACAGACATGATCAGTTCCCAGCCCTGACAGAGAGAATACAGACATGATCAGATCTCAGCCCTGACAGGGAGAATACAGACATGATCAGATCTCAGCCCTGACAGAGAGAATACAGACATGATCAGATCTCAGCCCTGACAGAGAGAATACAGACATGATCAGATCTCAGCCCTGACAGGGAGAATACAGACATGATCAGATCTCAGCCCTGACAGAGAGAATACAGATGTAATCAGAATTCATCACTGACAGACAGATCACAGACATAAACAAATCATAGCGGATAACACAGATATAAGAAACAGTCCTATACAATCACCAGCCAGACTGCGGGAGACATACATTGACGTATATACAATCACAAGCCAGACTATGGGAGACACACATGGAGGTATATACAAGCACAAGCCAGACTATGGGAGACACACATGGAGGTATATACAATCACAAGCCAGACTATTGGAGATACTAATGGATGTGTACAATAACACAAGCCAGACTATGGGAGACACACATGGACGTGTACAATAACACAAGCCAGACTATGGGAGACACACATTGAGGTATATTCAATCACAAGCCAGACTATTGGAGACACACATGGACGTGTACAAAAACACAAGCCTGACTATGAGAGACACACATGGAGGTATATACAATCACAAGCCAGACTATAAGAGACACACATGGAGGTATATACAATCACCAGCCAGACTATGAGAGACACACATGGAGGTATATACAATCACAAGCCAGACTATGGGAGACACACATGGAGGTATATACAAACACCAGCCAGACTATAGGAGACACACAAGGAGGTATATACAATCACAAGCCAGACTATGAGAGACACACATGGAGGTATATACAATCACAAGCCAGACTATAAGAGACACATATGGAGGTATATACAATCACAAGCCAGATTATGGGAGACATACATGGAGGTATATACAATCACAAGCCAGACTATGGGAGATACACATGGAGGTATATACAATCACAAGCCAGACTATGGAAGACACACATGGAGGTATATACAATCACAAGCCAGACTATGAGAGACACACATTGAGGTATATTCAATCACAAGCCAGACTATTGGAGACACACATGGAGGTATATACAACCACCAGCCAGATTATGGGAGACACACAAGGAGGTATATACAACCACCAGCCAGACTATGAGAGACACACAAGGAGGTATATACAACCACCAGCCAGAATATGGGAGACACACAAGGAGGTATATACAACCACCAGCCAGACTATGGGAGACACACATGGAGGTATATACAACCACCAGCCAGACTATGGGAGACACACATGGAGGTATATACAACCACCAGCCAGACTATGAGAGACACACATGGAGGTATATACAACCACCAGCCAGACTATGGGAGACACACATGGAGATATATACAACCACCAGCCAGACTATGGGAGACACACATGGAGGTATATACAACCACCAGCCAGACTATGAGACACACATATGGAGGTATATACAACCACCAGCCAGACTATGGGAGACACACGTGGACAAACTGATGGTGACTTACACAGTTCATCCCTTGTCCATAGAAGGGCAACATAGCGTGAGCTGCATCTCCTAGAAGAAGTACTTTGTCTTTGGCATGGTAGGGGTAACACTGGACAGGAAGCAAAAGAAACCGCACAACAGTTAGAAAATATAGACGATCAAAGTCACGATAGTTTTAACCTTCAATAAAGGTTCCTGTCATCAACTGTCTACTAGTTCCCCTGTCATCAGCTGTTTACTGATTCCCATGACATCAACTCTTTACTGGTTCCCCTGTCATCAACTGTCCACTAGTTCCGATGTCATCAACTGTTTTCTAGGTTTCTATCATCAAATGTCTACTGGTTCCCCTGTCATCAAATGTCTACTGGTTCCCCTGACATCAAATGTCCATTGGTTCCCCTGACATCAAATGTCCACTGGTTCCCCAGTCATCACTTGCCCACTGGTTGCCTGTCATCACTTGCCCACTGGTTGCCTGTCATCAAGTGTCTACTGGTTCCCATTCATCAACTGTCTATTGGTTCCCATTCATCAACTGTCTATTGGTTCCCCTGTCATCAGCTGTTTCCTGGTTCCCATGACATCAAATGTCTACTGGTTCCCCTGTCATCAACCTTCCACTAGTTCCGACATCATCAAATGTTTTCTAGATTTCTGTAATCAAATGTCTATTGGTTCCCTGTCATCAAATGTCTATTGGTTCCCCTGTCATCAAATGTCTACTGGTTTCCTGTAATCAAATGTCTACTGGTTCCCTGTCATCCAAAAAATGTCTACTGGTTCCCTGTCATCAAGTGTCTATTGGTTCCCGTGCCATCAAATGTCTACTGGTTCCCTGTCTTTTAAAAAATGTCTACTGGTTCCATGTCATTTAAAAAATGCCTACTGGTTCCCTGTCATCGAGTTTCTGCTGGTTTCTCTGTCATTAACTGTACCGGTTCCCGGCTCTTTTATCAACTGTCAACATTTTAGTTTTTAAATTCTTAGAAATCTGTGGTTTCCAAAAATTTGCAGCTGAGTATACCAGAAACTGAAACTGGGGATTATTGCACTAGAGCTGTTAGACAAATATAGAGACCTATCAATAGAGCTGTTAGACAAATATAGAGACCTATCAATAGAGCTGTTAGACAAATATAGAGACCTATCAATAGAGCTGTTAGACAAATATAGAGACCTATCAATAGAGCTGTTAGACAAATATAGAGACCTATCAATAGAGCTGTTAGACAAATATAGAGACCTATCAATAGAGCTGTTAGACAAATATAGAGACCTATCAATAGAGCTGTTAGACAAATATAGAGACCTATCAATAGAGCTGTTAGACAAATATAGAGACCTATCAATAGAGCTGTTAGACAAATATAGAGACCTATCAATAGAGCTGTTCGACAAATATAGAGACCTATCAATAGAGCTGTTAGACAAATATAGAGACCTATCAATAGAGCTGTTAGACAAATATAGAGACCTATCAGCTAATATAAAACAAAAACAAAAAATCAGGATTCTGTACAATGCTCACAAAAACAATTCATTGAAAACAAAACCTGACTAGTTAACTCAGGAGGGTGGGGGAGGAGGAGAGAGTCGGTGCACAGATGCCATCCAATGTTTGGACCAGCATCAACGACTGGAATAATCTGAAGCTCAGATGGGGTTGGTGGTCCAGGCGGGTTGAGTCGGAAAGAAGAGGGGGGCGGGGGGGGGGGCGAGGCGGGTGTTAGTTGTTGGTAAACCACGTAAAGAGTTAGATTTTCGTCCTTTGACAGGTATCAACAACTGACCTTTGTTGATATCAGAGGGCGAAGTTTCTGTGAAAAAAATCTGGATAGGAGCGTTTTTCTGAAATATGAAAAACAATATTCATGCCATCATGATACATGACAGATAGGTAGTGAAGAACAATTTGTAACAAACATGAGCACCGCTCCATCTGGGTGTTGTAACAAATATAAACACAGCTTTATCTGGGTATGGTAACAAAAAATGGACACAGCTCCATTGGCTGTTGTAACAAACATGAACACAGCTCCATCCTGCTGTTGTAAAAAACACGAACACAGCTCCATGTGACTGTTTTAATAAACATGAACACAGCTCCATGTGACTGTTGTAACAAACATGAACACAGCTTCATGTAACTGTTGTAACAAACATGAGCACAGCTCCCTCTGGTTAATGTAACAAATATGAACACAGCTCCATCCTGCTGTTGTAACAAACATGAACACAGCTCCGTGTGACTGTTGTAACAAACATGAACACAGCTCCATGTGACTGTTGTAACAAACATGAACACAGCTCCATGTGACTGTTGTAACAAACATGCACACAGCTACATCGGACTTTTGTAAAATCATGCACACAGCTCCATCTGGGTGTTGTAGCAGACTTGAAAACTGCTTCATCTTGGTGTTATCATCAATATGTGGCAGGTTGTTAGCATAATGTATGTGGCCCCCTCCGTAGTCTGGCTGACAGAAACTCGGTCTCTCGCCTCGTGCACTTTCTTGCCAAGGCTGTCTTTTATATCCTGTGCCCATCTTTGTTTTGCCCTTCTTTGCTCATTTCAGACAAGGTGCTTTTTATGAGCCAATCATCCTTAACTTACATATCTTTTAGGATGTTAATTATTTTTCCTTATGGTCCAAGGTATTATCAGAGTCTTTATATAGCAGTTAAGCTAATTATTTTTAGTTATGGCCTGAGGACATAAGAGACTTTCTAAAGCAGTTACGTTAATGATTTGTGGGTGTGGCCTGAGGACATAAGAGACTTTCTATAGCAGTCACGTTAATGATTTGTGGGTGTAGCCTGAGGTATTATAACAGACTTTCTATAGCAGTTACGTTAATGATTTGTGGGTGTGGCCTGAGGACATAAGAGACTTTCAATAGCAGTTACGTTAATGATTTGTGGGTGTGGCCTGAGGACATAAGAGACTTTCTATAGCAGTTACGTTACAAACATATCCACAACAAAGAGAAGACATCAAGGCCACTAACTCGCCGATCAAGGGGAGAACATCCGGCATATCTCTTCTGAAGAGTTCCAGCAGCTGTTGCTCCGAGGTAATGGAGTCGTACATGGCGAAAGGCATCACCAGCACCACGGTGTAGGACTTGTCCTCGTTAGGCTGGCCAATCATCATGTATTGGTCCCGAGGCCAAAGGTGGTGGTAACCTGCTTCCATGGCAAACTGAAAGTAACAACCAAAAGACACGGTGACAAACTAAAAGTAGCAAACAAGAAACACGGTGGCAAACTGAAAGTAGCAAACAAGAAACACGGTGGCAAACTGAAAGTAGCAACCAAGAAACACGATGGCAAACTGAAAGTAGCAACCAATAAACACGATGGCAAACTGAAAGTAGCAAACAAGAAACACGGTGGCAAACTGAAAGTAGCAACCAAGAGACACGATAACAAACCTAATGCAGGTCGTCCCCGTATGGGATGCAGTTGTTTGTTATTTGAGGCCCCAACCTGGCTTCTGCCGTGGGCCCTGAATATAACCGGGGCACATATATGGCCTAACGGCTGAAAGACGCTTCTGGGACCTTTGTGTCACCGGGTGTTTATAGCTTGTGTTATGTCCTGGTGGGGTATAACAGGCAAGCAAGTAAACTTAATGTAGCAACCAAGAGTCACAGTGGCAAATTGAAAGTTGTAGCCAAGTGACATGGTAGCAAACTGAATGTAGCAACCAAGAGACACGGTAGCAAACTGAATGTAGAAACCAAGAGGAACGGTGTCAAACTAAAAGTAACCACCAAAAGACACGATGGCAAACTTTAAGTAGCAACTAAGAGACACGGTGGCAAAGTGAAAGTAGCAGCCAAGAGACACGGTGGAAAAGTGAAAATAGTAGCCAAGAGATACGGTGGCAAAGTGAAAGTAGCAACCAGTAGACACGGCGGTAAAGTGAAAGTAGCAGCCAGACTTTCTCTCAGAGCTGTTGCTTTCCCAGACATGACTGTAGACTTTCTCCTAGAGCTGTTGCTTACCCAGACATGACTGTAGACTTTCTCTCAGAGCTGTTGCTTACACAGACATGACTGTAGATTTTCTCTCAGAGCTGTTGCTTACCCAGACATGACTGTAGACTTTCTCCTAGAGCTGGTGCTGACCCAGACATGACTGCAGACTTTCCCCCAGAGCTGTTGCTGACCCAGACATGACTGTAGACTTTCTCCTAGAGCTGGTGCTGACCCACACATGACTGTAGACTTTCTCCCAGAGCTGTTGCTGACCCAGACATGACTGTAGGCTTTCTCTCAGAGCTGTTGCTGACCCAGACATGACTGTAGACTTTCCCCCAGAGCTGTTGCTGACCCAGACATGACTGTAGACTTTCTCTCAGAGCTGTTGCTGACCCACACATGACTGTAGACTTTGTCCCAGAGCTGTTGCTGACCCACACATGACTGTAGACTTTGTCCCAGAGCTGTTGCTGACCCACACATGACTGTAGACTTTCCCCCAGAGCTGTTGCTGACCCAGACATGACTGTAGACTTTCCCCCAGAGCCGGTGTGGCGGTGACGTGTGCCCTAATCAACACGTCCTTACAGGTTGAACCTGGCTATCTACGATCGAACCCTCTTGTTTATAATGCGATTTAAGAAAATCTGAAGGTGCCTAACACTGAGGTAGCAGCCCGGAGGAGACAAACTACCCCCCCCCCCCCAGAGCAAAACTAAACTACGGATTTACTGCGACACATCATCTGCTGCCCAAATATAACTTTGACCCGATTATCTCATCCTCCTGGTCTCTCTGTGAGTGACCGGGTGTTTATCTATCAGAACGCAACCTTGGAAGGGATTAAACAATATACAACTACCTGCACAGAGTTGTAGAGCTGCCCATCCGTGATCGATGTGTCTCAGTTATATCTCTTCTTCAGAGGCTGAACAGGGTATCCGGCGTTTGCCGAGTTGGTTCGTCATTCTGAATTACAACACTGATAGGTCTATCTCATGTATCTACACACCTATGTCTACACATCTACACAACACTGATAGGTCTATCTCATGTTTTCACACACATCTACACAACACCGAGATGTTTATCTCTTTTATCTACAAATAAGTGTTCACACATCCACACAACACTGAGATTATATCCCCTGTATGTACACAACAGTCGTGGGTTCGCTCCCTGGCGGAGACGGACTTTTTTTCAAAAATGACCTTGGCTTCCAGGTCGACCCAGCCTTGAGTGGGTACCGGGTGCAATCCCGGGAAGTAGAGGCGACCGGCGTGATGCTGACCATATCACCCATCTTGTGCCGTTGGTCTATAAAAATATTGGTCTAGCCATATATGCCCAATACGCCTAAAGGCGTGGAAAGGGTCCTTTACTTACTTTTACTTATGTACACAACACGCTCACACATCTGCACACACACACACACACACACACACACACATACACACACAGAAATCACCGTGACCAACCTGGCAGTCATCCGTGGCCGGGATTCGAAGCTCCATATATCCGTGAGGAATGAACATTTGCTGGTAGTCGAATCTGCTCAACTTCATCATCATCTGTTGCCTTACCATGGAAAAAGCCCCATCTGCGCCAATGATCAGATCCACCTTTGTTCGGACTGGGTCTCCATGTTCTCTAGCGGGATGAAAACATACATGGGCCATTTAGGAGGTATTTCACCAGCGTGTGCCACTTGCAGGTTGTTGATGTCTGCCTCATTATGTCTTCTATAGGATATCATTCGATATGACAAACATTTGTAGCATTCTTCTATAGGATATCATTCGATATGACATAAACATTTGTAGCATTCTTCTATAGGATATCATTCGATATGACATAAACATTTGTAGCAGTCTTCTATAGGATATCATTCGATATGACATAACATTTGTAGCAGTCTTCTATAGGATATCATTCGATATGACATAAACATTTGTAGCATTCTTCTATAGGATATCATTCGATATGACATAAACATTTGTAGCAGTCTTCTATAGGATATCATTCGATATGACATAAACATTTGTAGCAGTCTTCTATAGGATATCATTCGATATGACATAAACATTTGTAGCATTCTTCTATAGGATATCATTCGATATGACATAAACATTTGTAGCAGACTTCTATAGGATATCATTCGATATGACATAAACATTTGTAGCATTCTTCTATAGGATATCATTCGATATGACAAACATTTGTAGCAGTCTTCTATAGGATATCATTCGATATGACAAACATTTGTAGCAGTCTTCTATAGGATATCATTCGATATGACATAAACATTTGTAGCAGTCTTCTATAGGATATCATTCGATATGACATAAACATTTGTAGCAGTCTTCTATAGGATATCATTCGATATGACATAAACATTTGTAGCATTGAAAAAGTTTCATGTTAATGATGATGTGTGAGAGTGGCACACCATGGATATTATAGTCCCACATGTCAACAGACTTGTCTATGATAGAACAGATTATAGCCACACGTGTCAACAGACTTGTCTATGATAGAACAGATTATAGCCACACGTGTCAACAGACTTGTCTATGATAGAACAGATTATAGCCACACGTGTCAACAGACTTGTCTATGATAGAACAGATTATAGCCACACGTGTCAACAGACTTGTCTATGATAGAACAGATTATAGCCACACGTGTCAACAGACTTGTCTATGATAGAACAGATTATAGCCACACGTGTCAACAGACTTGTCTATGATAGAACAGATTATAGCCACACGTGTCAACAGACTTGTCTATGATAGAACAGATTATAGCCACACATGTCAACAGACTTGTCTATGATAGAACAGATTACAGTCCCACATGTCAACAGACTTGTCTATGATAGAACAGATTATAGCCACACGTGTCAACAGACTTGTCTATGATAGAACAGATTATAGCCACACGTGTCAACAGACTTGTCTATGATAGAACAGATTATAGCCACACGTGTCAACAGACTTGTCTATGATAGAACAGATTATAGCCACACGTGTCAACAGACTTGTCTATGCTAGAACAGATTATAGCCGCACGTGTCAACAGACTTGTCTATGATAGAACAGATTATAGCCACCATGTCAACAGACTTGTCTATGATAAAACAGATTACAGCCGTACATGTCTACAGACCTGTCTATGATGACCTCCCCAGTGTCCAAGTTACAGCTGACCAGCTTGTGCGAAAACAACAGCCTCACATTGGCACACCTCTCTGCGGCTGAAACACGCAGACGGGAACTGATGTATCACATGAAAAACTCACACGGGAGTTGATGTATCACGTGAAACACGCACACGGGAGGTGATGTATCACATGAAACACGTACACGGGAGGTGATTTATAACATGAAACACACACACTGGAGGTGATGCATCACACAAGTGCAATCGTGTGCGCATGTGTATGTGTGTGTGTGTGTGTGCATGTGTATTTATGTCTGCGTATGATGATAGAAATACTTTTATGAAATGTTACACACATCTGTGTTATATAACACACGTGGATATCAGGTGCAATGATTATCACACATGTGAATGTCCGGTGAGAAATTATTACATGCGTGGATGATAGGTGAGATAAAAGCATTCATAAAACCGTCAAGTGAGATAGTGTTACAAATGTGAATGTATGATGAGATAATGTCACACACGCGAATGGCAGACAAGATAATATGGAAAGACTACATATTCCTCAAATCATTTCTTTTACTTCCAATCTTTAATGTCCCTCTGTCGGCCGCCACCACTCTTGTATGTCTTCCCTATTTCATATCTGATCCATTGTTTTGAACAACTCTCAGTCCTGTTCATCATTTCTCTCTTCCTCTTGCATAACTGCTCGGGCTCTGAAGTTGACACTACACAATCTATTTCACCGTTTTGAAAATTTCTTTCATTTTTAAATTAGTTTTTTTTTCTTCAACTTTTTAACTTAAAAAAAAACTTTTTAAACTTTAATTACCTTTAATATATCTAAGACCAGCATATATTGACCATAAACTTACCACGCCAACAAAAAAATTTTTTTTTATGTGCGCAACAATGCACGCGGGCGTCCGATCTCACTACCCATAGAATTACTAGAAGTCTAAGTCCACTAGAAAAAATCCCACCCCTTGTCGGGAATTGAACCAAGAACCTCTAGATCTCTAACCGCTCACTGTTGTCCGCACTGCTCAAGAACTTGCCATGCTCATATTGGACTAATCAGCCACATTGGTATTCACAATCATTGATCATTACTACTTGGGATGAAAGTGGTCTTCATCACTCGTGATGGACAAACAACAAAACATAAACAAATTAATACATACATACATGTATACAGAAGAAACATGTTGCTTTTTTACATTTGATCTTTTAAACAACTGTGATGTTACTGTTGTGCTTTACATCTGTGAGTGAGTGAGTCAGTGGGTGATGTTACTGTTGTGCTTTACATCCGTGAGTGAGTGAGTCAGTGGGTGATGTTACTGTTTTGCTTTACATCTTGAGTGAGTGAGTCAGTGGGTTATGTTACTGTTTTGCTTTACATCTTGAGTGAGTGAGTCAGTGGGTGATGTTACTGTTGTGCTTTACATCCGTGAGTGAGTGAGTCAGTGGGTGATGTTACTGTTTTGCTTTACATCTTGAGTGAGTGAGTCAGTGGGTGATGTTACTGTTTTGCTTTACATCTTGAGTGAGTGAGTCAGTGGGTGATGTTACTGTTTTGCTTTACATCTGTGAGTGAGTGAGTCAGTGGGTGATGTTACTGCTGTGCTTTACATCTGTGAGTGAGTGAGTCAGTGGGTGATGTTACTGTTGTGCTTTACGTCTGTGAGTGAGTGAGTCAGTGGGTGATGTTACTGTTGTGCTTTACATCTGTGAGTGAGTGAGTCAGTGGGTGATGTTACTGCTGTGCTTTACATCTGTGAGTGAGTGAGTCAGTGGGTGATGTTACTGTTGTGCTTTACATCTGTGAGTGAGTATGTCAGGACCGCACCACTAACGATTAATAGTTGGTGACACAACGTGCCACAATTCGGACGAGAATCCACATTGAAACCCCGTTGAACAATTCGGTTATATTACGCCGCCGCTCCCCCTGTTCCCATCATTCCCTCCGGACGACAGTGATGTGGGTTGTATGTCAGACCGGTGATGTAGGTTGTATGTCAGACCCGTGATGTGGGTTGTATGTCAGACCGGTGATGTGGGTTGTATGTCAGACCGGTGATGTGGGTTGTATGTCAGACCGGTGATGTGGGTTGTATGTCAGACCGGTGATGTGGGTTGTATGTCAGACCGGTGATGTGGGTTGTATGTCAGACCGGTGATTTGGGTTGTACGTCAGACCGAATAACTCACCTTCGACCAACACCTGGTTCAGCAACTGTCGCTTGAAGACTATGATATTCTGTTGGAGATATGAAAAGATAACTTGTGGTCAGGAAACAATATTGTGTCTCAAAGTAGGTTTTGTGGAGCAAAACAGCGGCAAACATCGAAGCATATGGTTTGGGGGGTGTCAGGGTGTCGGGGGAGGGATGTAGGGGGACGGATGTCAGTAAGTGGGGGGGGGGGAAGGGAGGTGGGGGATGGATGTCAGTTAGTAGGGGGCCGGGCGCGGATGTCAGTAAGGGAGAGGGGGGGGGCGGATATCAGTAAGTGGGGGGGGGGGAGGACGGATGTCAGTAAGTGGGGGGGGGGGGGGGGGGACGGATGTCAGTAAGTGGAGGGGGGGGGGCGGATGTCAGTAAGTGGGGTGGAGGTGGGACGGATATCAGTAAGTGGGGTGGGGGTGGGACGGATGTCAGTAAGTGGGGTGGGGGGACTGATGTCAGTAAGTGGGGTGGGGGGACGGATGTCAGTAAGTGGGGTGGGGGGGGGGACGTCAGTAAGTGGGGTGGGGGGCGGATGGCAGTAAGTGGGGTGGTGGGGGGCGGATGTCAGTAAGTGGGGTGGGGGCGGATGTCAGTAAGTGGGGGGAGGGGACGGATGTCAGTAAGTGGGGTGGGGGAACGGATGTCAGTAAGTGGGGTGGGGGGACGGATGTCAGTAAGTGGGGGGGGGGGGGGGACGGATGTCAGTAAGTGGGGTGGGGGGGGGACGGATGTCAGTAAGTGGGGGGTGGGGGGACGGATGTCAGGTAAGCAGTTTTTATTTTTTATTTTTGGGAGGGAAAGGGGGGGGGGGGGCTGCTGTCAGTAAGTGGGGGTGGGACGGATGTCAGTAAGTGGGGTGGGGGGGGGAACTGATGTCAGTAAGTGGGGTGGGGGGACAGATGTCAGTAAGTGGGGTGGGGGGGGGGGGGGACGGACGTCAGTAAGTGGGGTGGGGTGGGGGGGGGCGGATGTCAGTAAGTGGGGTGGGGGGAACGGATGTCAGTAAGTGGGGTGGGGGGGGATGTCAGTAAGTGGGGTGGGGGGACGGATGTCAGTAAGTTTGGTGGGGGGGGGGGACGGATGTCAGTAAGTGGGGTGGGGGGGGACGGATGTTAGTAAGTGGGGTGGGGGGGGGCGGATGTCAGTAAGTGGGGTGGGGGGACGGATGTCTGTAAGTGGGGTGTTGGGACGGATGTCAGTAAGTGGGGTGGGGGACGGATGTCAGTAAGTGGGGTGGGGGACGGGGACGGATGTCAGTAAGTGGGGTGGGGGGGGGCGGATGTCAGGTACGCAGTTTTTTTTTAAAGTTTTTTTGGGAGAGGAGGGGGGGGGGGGGGAAGAGTCTTGAATGAAAATGTTTAAAAAAAAGTGTTATTCATGGTGTAAAAAAATAGTTGTATGTGTGTGGGGTTAAGTGTTGTATGTGTGTGGGGTTAAGTGTTGTATGTGTGTGGGGTTAAGTGTTGTATGTGTGTGGGGTTAAGTGTTGTATGTGTGTGGGGTTAAGTGTTGTATGTGTGTGGGGTTAAGTGTTGTATATGTGTGGGGTTAAGTGTTGTATGTGTTTGGGGTTAAGTGTTGTGTGTGTGAGGGGTTACGTGTTGTATGTGTGTGGGGTTAAGAGTTGTATGTGTGAGGGGTTAAGTGTTGTGTGTGTGAGGGGTTAAGTGTTGTGTGTGTGAGGGGTTAAGTATTGTGTGTGTGAGGGGTTAAGTGTTGTGTGTGTGAGGGGTTAATTGTTGCGTGTGTGAGGGGTTAAGTGATGTGTGTGTGAAGGGTTAAGTTTTGTGTGTGTGAGGGGTTAAGTATTGTGTGTGTGAGGGGTTAAGTATTGTGTGTGTGTGAGGGGTTAAGTGTTGCGTGTGTGAGGGGTTAAGTGTTGCGTGTGTGAGGGGTTAAGTGTTGCGTGTGTGAGGGGTTAAGTGTTGCGTGTGTGCGGGGTTAAATATTGTGTTTGTGAGGGGTTAAGTATTGTGTGTGTGAGAGGTTAAGTATTGTTTTTGTGAGGGGTTAAGTGTTGTGTGTGTGAGGAGTGCTTAGAAGGGCGAATATACGACGGTCCTGTGTGCCAAATATGTAACCAAGGATTGACATCACAGCACTCGGGTCATTCTCATGGAGCTCCGTCCTCAACTTCAGCAGCCAGCGCAGAGTTTCAAGACTGATGGTACCGGTCACAGTTTGGTTATATGCCCGTCTTGCTTTCCCTCTGAGTGTTAACCGACCAGACCCTCTGGTTACACCTAGGTGCCTCATTTTCTCCAGGCCATAATAATCTTATTTCTCTACTGATAGCGTTGATTGTTCCCAAAAGGCCTTGACCACATCTGCCTTGTCATGTATCATTTGGCCACTCAGTGGTGCAGATCCAGTTAATCTGTCTGCCATGTCATGTATCATTTGGCCCCTTGTGTTGCAGATCCAGTGAATCTATCTGCCTGTTCATCTAAAGAGGTTTTATGCAATCAAAGACTGGCCAACAGCTGTACATTCGATACCCGCTCAGGCACCAGCTACTAGCCAATTTTATACGTTCATTAAATTCTGAACTTTGATGTTGGTGGTTCTGTATTCTTGCTGAGAATATCAAACTGTTCTTTGGGTGAATCACTGCAAACATATCTCTAAACTCTGGCCTCTGCTTCTTGACAATCATGATTATGTCTTCTTAGCTTTTCTGTCAACTTTTGAGACTGATATTTAAATTACAGGTACTTTTGTAATTGCCTGTTTAAATTCAGGTTCAGATTAAACATTATCATGGACAAGGGTAGTAACCCTAGGTGCTTTGTTCTACTTCTAACTCAAGCCTGAGTCTTGAGAATCTCAGTGCAGTGCACGAACTCCATAGCACCCACCAGGATCCTGAAAATACTGTGGGTATATTTTAAACTCCACATTTTGCCCTGGCAGCGCCGTTAGGTTACTCATTTTTATTTCCAACTGCCAAGGAATATTTTTACGTGCACAACAATACACACGGGAGTCCGATCTTACTACACAGAGACCAGGGGAAAATATCCCCCTTGGCTAGGGCTTAAACCCGTGACTCCATCAATGGAGGTGGACGCCTTGCCCCGAGACAGCTCATTTTCCTGCACACTTTATTTAGACCTGCTCTTTTTAAAAGTATTGTTTGAATATTTTCATTAATTTGTTCTTGGTTTTGAAGTTTGGGGATTTTGATTAATTAAAGAAAGCCACTAATCATCAGATGACACAGTCACACAGATGTATAATGTTGAAATGCCACTAATCATCAGATGACAGTCATACAGATGTATAATGTTAAAATGCCATTAATCATCAGATGACAGTCACACAGATGTATAATGTTGAAATGCCACTAATCATCAGATGACACAGTCACACAGATGTATAATGTTGAAATGCCACTAATCATCAGATGACACAGTCATACAGTTGTATAATGTTGAAATGCCACTAATCATCAGATGACAGTCATACAGATGTATAATGTTAAAATGCCACTAATCATCAGATGACAGTCATACAGATGTATAATGTTAAAATGCCACTAATCATCAGATGACACAGTCACACAGTTGTATAATGTTGAAATGCCACTAGTCATCAGATGACACAGTCATACAGTTGTATAATGTTAAAATGCCACTAATCATCAGATGACAGTCATACAGATGTATAATGTTAAAATGCCACTAATCATCAGATGACACAGTCACACAGTTGTATAATGTTGAAATGCCACTAATCATCAGATGACAGTCATACAGATGTATAATGTTAAAATGCCACTAATCATCAGATGACACAGTCACACAGTTGTATAATGTTGAAATGCCACTAATCATCAGATGACACAGTCACACAGTTGTATAATGTTGAAATGCCACTAATCATCAGATGACAGTCATACAGATGTATAATGTTAAAATGCCACTAATCATCAGATGACAGTCATACAGATGTATAATGTTGAAATGCCACTAATCATCAGATGACACAGTCACACAGTTGTATAATGTTGAAATGCCACTAGTCATCAGATGACAGTCACACAGATGTATAATGTTGAAATGCCACTAATCATCAGATGACAGTCACACGGATGTATAATGTTGAAATGCCACTAATCATCAGATGACACAGTCACACAGATGTATAATGTTGAAATGCCACTAATCATCAGATGACAGTCATACAGATGTATAATGTTAAAATGCCACTAATCATCAGATGACAGTCACACAGTTGTATAATGTTGAAATGCCACTAATCATCAGATGACACAGTCACACAGATGTAAAATGTTGAAATGCCACTAATCATCAGATGACAGTCACACAGATGTATAATGTTGAAATGCCACTAATCATCAGATGACAGTCACACAGATGTATAATGTTAAAATGCCACTAATCATCAGATGACACAGTCACACAGTTGTATAATGTTAAAATGCCACTAATCATCAGATGACACAGTCACACAGTTGTATAATGTTGAAATGCCACTAATCATCAGATGACACAGTCACACAGTTGTATAATGTTAAAATGCCACTAATCATCAGATGACACAGTCATACAGTTGTATAATGTTGAAATGCCACTAATCATCAGATGACACAGTCACACAGTTGTATAATGTTAAAATGCCACTAATCATCAGATGACAGTCACACAGTTGTATAATGTTGAAATGTCACTAATCATCAGATGACACAGTCACACAGTTGTATAATGTTAAAATGCCACTAATCATCAGATGACACAGTCATACAGTTGTATAATGTTAAAATGACACTAATTATCAGATGACACAGTCACACAGTTGTATAATGTTAAAATGCCACTAATCATCAGATGACACAGTCATACAGTTGTATAATGTTAAAATGCCACTAATCATCAGATGACAGTCACACAGTTGTATAATGTTAAAATGCCACTAATCATCAGATGACAGTCACACAGTTGTATAATGTTAAAATGCCACTAATCATCAGATGACAGTCACACAGATGTATAATGTTGAAATGCCACTA